ATCAGACATTGTACAAGCATCACTACCAGGCGGGCGAGTCTCTGCGCTTCTTCTGCTATGAGGGCTTTGAGCTCATTGGCGAGGTCACCATCACCTGTGTGCCCGGGCACCCCTCACAGTGGACCAGCCAGCCCCCACTCTGCAAAGGTGCCTGGGCAGGCAGGGCAGGAGGGGGCACAGCAGTGTCCAGGATGTGACAGGGCTGGGAAAGTCAGGTAGCAAATTCGAGACCCTGCCGAGCTCCCCATCCACTTTCTATGGGCTCTCATTATCAGAGGTATAGCCAAAAGCCCTGGAGAAGTTCAAGGTCATGGAATTATCCTAAGGGAAGTAGTAGAGGGGGCTTTGGTTTGGCAGTCCCTTGCCCTCCGAATAGGTCTCAGTTTCCGTATTTTTGACAAATCCTACAGACCTGGTTGGTTTAGACTGCCCAGGGGTCTGGAGGAGGAGGACCGAGGCCCTGCTCTGACTGTTCCTCCCCTGTCCCCAAGGGAAGGATCGAGTTTAGGTTGAGCAGAGGGCAGAGAATCCAGGCTGTCCAGCCCGGCCCCACTGGGCTCCCGGCCCTCTACCCAGCCTCCTTCCCTCCCTGGCTCAGACCCCGTCCCCTCCTCCTCCTCTCCCTGCAGTGGCCTATGAGGAGCTCCTGGACAACCGAAAACTGGAAGGTCAGTGAGGGCACAGGTGGAGACCCAGGCCTGGCCAAGTTGGGAGGGCAAGGCAGAGGCCGGGGGCAGGAGGCCAGGCCCCCGGTGGGGTGAGGCCCAGGGTTCAGGGCCCAGGGCAGGAGGCTGGGAGAGCCCAGGGCTGGGCCCAGCCCCAGATCACTGGCCTCTCCTCCTCCTTCCAGTGAGCCAGACCACCGACCCGTCACGGCAGCTAGAGGGTGGGAACCTCGCCTTGGCCATTCTGCTGCCCCTAGGCTTGGTCATCGTCCTCGGCAGTGGCGTTTACATATACTACACCAAGTAAGTACATAACTCAGGGAGCTGCTGGCCAGGGCAGACGTCCTGCCTGCCTGGCACAGAAGCCCGGGTGAGGGGGGGTTGGGGGCTCACTTCTCGATAAGCCCCTCTATCTCCTTCCTTTCCCAGGCTACAGGGAAAATCCCTCTTCGGCTTCTCAGGCTCCCATTCCTACAGCCCCATCACGGTGGAGTCAGACTTCAGCAATCCACTGTATGAAGCTGGGGTGAGCCCTTCCCCTACCCCTGGAGTGCCACATCCCTCAGCTCCCCTGGGACTCTATAACCTTCTCTCAAGGTCTTTGTAATATCTGTCTTGGGAATTGCAAACTCAGCTGTCTACAAAGGCCACGTCAATGAACAAAGCCAAGTCAGGTGGGCCAATCGGGAGTGGTAAGGACTGTGACCAACTGGAAAGCTTGTACCCCATCCAGTCCATGGAGGAAACCTAAGCCCAACTGCCAGACCTTCCAACTGTTCAAGACAATCCAGAAATTTAGATTTTTATGTGACTTTAAGATACTGTAGGATGAACCAAATACACCCATTGGCCAGATTCAGCCCCATTCCCACCCCATGGTCCCCAAACTCCCAGTGATCTATGTTATTTTAAAAACACAGAGTCTTTCCCCTTCCTTGTGGATGCCTCCTCCACCTCCATCCCATTCTAGTGACTGATGCCATCTCTCTGTTTCCAGGATACACGAGAGTATGAAGTTTCCATCTGAACACCAAGACTAAGGCTGCAGGACCCAGGACGCCCCTCCTCTCCTCATTCTGGGCAGGAAGGAGTACAGGACCTGGCCTCTGGCTCCCTTCCTCCCTGCTGTGTAAATAATCTCCTGGTCCCACGAGGGGGCTTTGATGGCCCTGGGGACCCTACAGTAAATAAACCAGCATCCTGTGCCCAAAGCCTCCTCTTCTCAGTTGCCAAACAAGGGGCCTACTCCCCACTCACTCTACCCCTTTTTGGACCCTAGGAGGGGAACTCAGCCCCTGATGCAACTCCTGGGGACCCTCCAGCCCAGGGCATCCCACAAGGACTACCCAAGAGCTCTGCTGTTCCCTTGGTCATGAAGGCTCTGCCCTTCCCAGATGCTCTGTCCCTGGGCCTAACCTCTGACCCTTGGAGGGTCAGAAGAAGAGGGATGAAGGGGAGAGCTGGGACAAGGCCCCTACCCCCTTCCTGCCATGTCCCCTACCCACAGTCTCCCCACCTTTGCTTCTGGATTTTTGTTTTTGAGCAATAAACAGAAAATCTCCATTTGTAACTGGGCTGGTGGGGTGTGGGAAGGTGGGTCACAGAGCACTGGAGATGGTGATGGTGGCCTCTCTGGAAAGAGGGCTGGGGAGAGGGGAACACTTGGGGAAAAAGATGGAAATTTAAGATTGCACACAGGGCAGTGTTGAAGGGGCTGGCCTGGGGTCAAAAAGCCTGACTTTGGGCTCAGCCTCTGGAGGACCAGCCGGGCCCACTCCTGGCCTCAGCAGTCTCTCCACAGGGCTTGGCGTTTCCAGGCTCTTCTAGCTGGGTGATAAATGACAGTAGCTGCCTCTCCGCCTTCACTGTTTGGCAGGTGACAAACAGCGCTCAGTTTGTTTCATGACCAGTTGACCTAAAAGTCAACCCCCTTTTGAGAAATCTTGTACCCATCCAAGTGTACCATTTTCCCCCCAATCTTTTTGGCATTTATTTATTTTTGGCTGCGTTGGGTCTTCGTTGCTACGCGTGTGCTCTTCTCTAGTTGTGACGAGCAGCGGCTACTCTGTTTGGTGCGCGGGCTTCTCATTGCGGTGGCTTCTCTTGTTGTGGAGCACGGGCTCTAGGCGCGCGGGCTTCCGTAGTTGTGGCTCGCGGGCTCTAGAGCGCAGGCTCAGTAGTTGTGGCACACGGGCTTAGTTGCTCTGCAGCACATGGAATCTTCCCGGACCAGGGCTCGAACCCGTGTCCTCTGCATTGGCAGGCAGATCCTTAACCACTGCGTCACCAGGGAAGTCCTTTTTGGCTTTTTTTTTTTTTTTTGCGGTACGCGGGCCTCTCACTGTTGTGGCCTCTCCCGTTGCGGAGCACAGGCTCCAGACGCTCAGGCTCAGCGGCCATGGCTCACGGGCCCAGCTGCTCTGTGGCATGTGGGATCTTCCCGGACCAGGGCACGAACTCGTGTCCCCTGCATCGGCAGGCAGACTCTCAACCACTGCGCCACCAGGGAAGCCCCCTTTGTGGCATTTTAAGCATATCTGCTGTTATGTGTCTACTAAGTATTAGATTTGTAGCTTTTCATAAACAATGAGCTTGTTTGGTTTCCCATGGGTGTCCTTTTCTACTTTACTTTTGAACGTTATAGAGAATTTACAGCCTGTTTGTCTTTTTTTTTTTTTTTTTTTTCTGCATTGGGTCCTCGTTGCTGCGCGCAGGCTCTCTCTAGTTGTGGCGAGCGGGGGCTACTCTTCGTTGAGGTGCTTGGGCCTCTCATTGCAGTGGCTTCTCTTGTTGCAGAGCATGGGCTCTAGGAGCGCGGGCTTCAGTAATTGTGGCATGCGGACTCAGTAGTTGTGGCTCAAGGGCTCTAGAGTGCAGGCTCAGTAGTTGTAGCGCACGGGCTTAGTTGCTCCGCGGCATGTGGGATCTTCCCGGACCAGGGCTCGAACCCGTGTCCCCTGCATTGGCAGGCGGATTCTTAACCACTATGCCACCAGGGAAGCCTCAGCCTGTTTGTCTTAAAGTCTTTCTCCAAATCAACTGAATTTTCCTTAATTAAAATTTTATAATTAAATATAATGAAACATTTTTAGGACACTCAAAAGAGGATTGGATTTTAGAACACGAGGCAAACCGACCTTGATAATAGCCTAAGTTTTTTTGGCATTTATTCTGTGCCAGGCATTGTGATGAGCACTTTGTATGCATTATGTTTTTAACTCTCACAAGGCCCTTGTGAGACAGGGACAATTATTCCCATTTTTCAGATAAGGAAACAGAGGCTGGGAGATGTGAACTGACTTCCTTACGAGGCTCCAATAAGTGGCCAGACTGGGATTTAAATGCAAACGTCACAAAGCCTACTGCACTGCCTTCTGGTTAGTAACAGGCATGATATGTTCCATAGCCATGCGGCTCCAAAACGTGGAGGGGAGACCTCAACACTGACACTGGTGGCTGGAGGGGCTCCTCAGAAGCAAAGGTGGACCCTCTCAGATGCCACAGGCACCTTACGGTGCTGGAGTTTGGCTGGGAGGCTGCATCTGGACCCATGAACTCATCTCTGCCAACAGGTTGATGGAGAATAGGTTGATATCTGCCTGAATTAAAGCCATTCCAGGGGCTTCCCTGGTGGCACAGTGGTTAAGAATCCACCTGCCAATGCAGGGGACACGGGTTCGAGCCCTGGTCCAGGAAGATCACATATGCTGTGGAGCAATAAGCCCGTGCACTACAACTACTGAGCCTGTGCTCTAGAGCCCGCGTGCCACAACTACTGAGCCCGTGCGCCTAGAGCCCGTGCTCCACAACAAGAGAAGCCACTGCAATGCGAAGCCTGCATACCACAACGAAGAGTAGCCCCAACGCAGCCATAAGTAGATAAATAAATAAATAAATATATATATATATTTAAAAAAAAAAAAAAAAAAAAGCCATGCCAGGGGAATTCCCTGGTGGTCCAGTGGTTAAGACTCCCCATTTCCACTGCAGAGGGTGCTGGTTTGATCCCTGGTCTGGGAAGTAAGATCCCACATGCCATGTGGTGCTGTGAAAAAAAAAAAATTAAAAAAGAAAAATCACTCAAAAAGAAAAAAAAGCCATTCCAATAATATGCCCAAGAAACTTAACACCCCATTGTAAAGCAATTATACTCCAATAGATGTTAAAAAAAAAAAGGAATAGGAATATTGTAAAACAATTATACTCCAATAAAGATGATTAAAAAAAAAAGGAATAGGAAATAAATAAATAAAATAACATGCCCACATATCTGACAAAAAGGGGGAGGGGCACTCCTCCCACATCACCCCACAGAGAGCACTGCCCAGCCTGAGAGGAGGGAAGGATCTCTGTCACTTTATTAAAGTTTTTGATTTCTGGTGGTGTCCTTGCTAGCTGAGGGTGGAGAGGTGTGTGATGGTTCCAGAACCCTTTGGAGGCTTCAGGGGTGATGTTGCTCATGACCAGGAATCGCCCCAAAACCAAACTGTTGAATGAGTTGTGAAAGAGGAGTTTTGGTGCATGTTCTAGAGGAACAGAGCGGGGAGAGGGCACGAGAGGCCAAGAGCAGCACCAGAGTTGGGATCATCCTCCAGATGTCAAGTTGCTAGGCAGAGCTCCCTAGAAAAGAATAAGAGTCTCTTGACTTTAGATTCAAGGTTCATGTCTTTTTATCTTTCCATCCTTCACCTATCCATCCAACCCCTATCCCCCATCCATCTATTTATCCATCCACCATTCCCCACCTATCCATCTATCCATCCACCCACCATTCTCTTTCCATCCATCCACAAATCTACCCATCATTCCCTATTCATAACAGACACTCAATAAACATTTGCTGAGACTTCCCTGGTGGTGCACTGGTTGAGAAACCGCCTACCAATGCAGGGGACACAGGTTAGATGCCTGGTCCGGGAAGATCCCACATGCCGCGGAGCAACTAAGCCTGTGCTCTAGAGCCTGCGAGCCGCAACTACTGAGTCCGTGTGCCACAACGACTGAAGCCCGCGCGCCTAGAGCCCGTGCTCCACAACAAGAGAAGCCACTGAAATGAGAAGTCCGCACACCACAACGAAGAGTAGCCCCCGCTCGCCGCAACTAGAGAAAGCCCGTGTGCAGCAACGAAGACCCAACACAGCCAAAAATAAATAAATAAAATTTAAAGTCATTAAAAAAAATAAAATAAACATTGCTGTCAGTTCCTTCTCTACCATCTTCATGAACCCCTCTCTCCTCCTCTGCCAACCCCTTACTTGGAGAGGTTCTCCAAGGCTCCATCCTCAGCGCCCCTCGTCTTTCTCACTCTGCACAACCCTCCATCCCCCCACCCCACCCCCCACCAGGGCAACTGCACACCCTTCAACTGCCAACTTCCTCCTAGATCAGATCTCTATCACCAGCCCAGACCTTGCCACTGAGTTCTGAAGCCATATTCCCAACTGTCTACAGAGCATTTCCACCTGGAGTTCCCAGGGGCCCCTCACACATAATCTGTCCAAAGGCGGGAGCGTGCCTGCCAAGCCCCAGGAAGAATGAGGAGGCTGGCATAACTGGAAGCAGGGACTGGAACTAGTGGTATCGGAGGGTCTCTGGACAGAAGGGTCCTGGCGTGGGGTTCACCGTGTTTGGATATCTGAGTCCCTTGGTCTTGTGTCTGTTTTTCTTTGATGGGCACAGGATTCATGTGGTAGGCAGCGACAAACAAGGCCTCGTCAGTGAGTTCTGTGCTGATCTGTGTCAGGAATTCCTCAGAATGGGAAACCTTCTGGAAAAGGGAAAGTCAGAGGGGCTCAGCCTGGGAGTTCCTACATGGGAGTCCTGGGTCTGGAGGCTCCCAGGCTGGGGGCTCTGGGTCTAAGGAGTCTGGTATTGGACGGCTGGGTCTTGCAATTTGGCCTGGAAGGTCCTGGAAGTGGAGGGCAGCCTTTGGGGACCTCAGGGGCGTAGTGCTGGGGGCTCTGGGCTCAGGGTTGAGGCTAGAGTTTCCAGGCTGGCGGTCTCAGTGCCCTAAGCCTAGGAGCTCTCCACTTCACTTCACCCCCACCCCAAGAACTCCTCTCCAATGCTCACCGGACCTCCAGCCAAGCAGGCTGCAGAGTCTGTGGCTTGGGATTGCCCGCTGCCCATTTTCTCCATATTCCTGGTAGCAGTGGATGCCATCCCCCTGGGGACAGCGGAAGCTCAGGTTAGGCTGAGAAACCAGCCCACTTCTCCCAAACCCAACACACCACCATTCCCCGCGGCCTTGAAGAACTGTGTCAGTTCTCTCTCTGAAAAAAAGAAAAGAAAAGAAATCGTTGCCTTAAGTCTTCCTGGGGGAGGGAGGAGGTGAGACTCCCACAACACCCGCCTCCCGCCCCCCTCACTTCGCCCAGCAGGGGCCTCTCTTCCCTTCTTCCCACCCAAGAACTTTCCCAAGACAAGGCAGACCACTTGCCGCCCCCGACCTGGCAGATGGGTCGAAATCTTGGGCTACTCGGCAGGAGGGGAGACGGGGAGGTCTATAAGGAGCCCTTTTATGGGCCGGGGGACAGGGGACTTGGGAGCTGGGGAGGAAGGTTGGAAAGAGGGGAACCGGGAGCGGCGCCGCTACCCGTTGCTATAAAAACCTTGGCGTCTGCGGAGGTTCAGCAGCACCTTAGGGAGAGTAGGGATTCTAGAACCAAAGCTGGGAGGGCATTTTCCCAGCTTGTGGCATTCGCTCCTCCGGCCTCTCCTCCACCCCCTTTAGGTCCCTCCTTGGGGGCAGTGACCCCCGCGCCAGTGGCCTTGAGAAACTTGGGAAGATCAAGGTGGAGCCTGACACCTAACCCTCCCACCACTAGGGGCACGCGAGAAGCAAGCCCACCCGAGGCCGCCCTCCAACCTCTCTGGCTATCATCTTTTTGCCTGGAGCCTGTGAGAGCAAATGGGGGCAGAGAGAGGGGGCGGGGAAGAAAAAGTGTGGGCTGTGCCAAATAACCTGGCCTCTCGGGGGTGCAAAGAATCGGGAGGGCGGGATCTTTTCTCCTTATCTTTGTCTTCAGGAGTCATATCCTCCGCAGAAAGGAAAGTAGAGACATTTACCTAGGCCTCCTTCTCTTTTGACCTCTCCTTTTAAGTTCCTTCCTTTGCTCAGCGTTGACGGTTCTTTGCCCCCTCTCCTCCCTCTGTACTTTGGTACGAACCGATGGAAAGGGGAGGAGGGAAGAAAAGGAAAAGGAAGCGGGCAGGTCTTAAAGGGGACGCAGCCATTTCTTAAGTCTCTTCTTCCTTTCTCCAATTTTGCAAGGACGAACCCTGAAGAGTAGGTTCCGGAAGCTAAGCACAGCTGGAGGAGCAGGGGCCGCAGCTGGAGGCAGGAGAGCCGGCGGGGCAGGCGGAGGCCAGCGTCTGCTCAGGGGAAGGGCTGGGTGTGCGCGCCCTCTGTGCCCCACGCACAGCTGTGTCGGCCCATGCTACGGCAGGCAAAGAGCTTTAACATCTGGGACCTGACAGGGGCAGCGGGGACCTGCGCGCAGTGGGCGCGGCCGATGAGCCGGGCTGGAGGGTGAGCCTTCCGCCGGAGCTGGGAGAGAGCTGGCACCTCCAGATAAGGCCCAGGGCGGCCAGGGGACCTCCGCGATGCCAGGCGAAAATATCTTCCTGTTTGTGCCTAACCTCATCGGTGAGTGCTACCCGCGGCTCCGGGCCGAACGGGAGGGCTAGGGACCTTGGGCAGGCTCCCTGATCCTGCCCTGTCTCCCCCTGCCGTCTCAATCCCAAGGTTATGCCCGGATTGTCTTCGCCATCATTTCTTTCTACTTCATGCCCTGCTGCCCTCTCACGGCCTCCTCCTTCTACCTGCTCAGCGGACTTCTGGACGCTTTCGATGGACACGCTGCTCGAGCCCTTAATCAAGGTGACAGACACCTTTTCTCAGCCAGCCTTGAGACCCAACAACCCTCTGCCCCCTTTTCCTGCTTCCTTAGGACCTCGGGGTAGGCGGGTACTCGGGAATCAGAGGGCTCTGTCATTCCCATCTCTGTAGAAAGCAGAACAGAATGGCCTGATTTTGTAGCAGAAGGGATTTAAGCTCGCTGTGGAGAAGAACTCATTGATAGCGAGGGGTGTGGGATACCAAGACCCAGCATGGCAGTGCAAGTGCTGGAGGCCTCTCTGAATAAAAATCCATTCAACAGGTGTTTTGGGGGCATCTGCTGTATGCCAGGCACAAGCCATAAGGATTCCAGAAAGCATGTTTAGAGGGAGGATGGAGAGGGAAGGGAGATGGTTTCTGGAGAGATGATTAATTTTTTTAATCTGTTCTTCAGACCCACCTCTAAGACTTCCCATGCTAGCTTTCTCACTCCCTTCTACACTGTTTTCTCTACACTGCCATGCTTCCTTGTTTTATGATACGGTGACCCTTGCCTTTTGACCTTCATACTCCAACGATAGCAGTCTGCTTTCCTCCCCAGGCAGTGGATTGTGGGCCTTTTCTCTCTTAGGCTCTGCATTAGAGTGATACACTAAATATGGCCTCTGTCACAGATGCATTGCCCCCTTACAGCCCCCATCCACCTAATAGTTGCCATTTTTCAGGAACCCGATTTGGGGCCATGCTGGACATGCTGACAGACCGGTGCTCCACAATGTGTCTGCTGGTCAACCTGGCCCTGCTGTACCCTCGCGCCACTCTTCTTTTCCAGCTCAGCATGAGCTTGGACGTTGCCAGCCACTGGCTGCACCTCCACAGGTCAGTGATTCTGGGGGTGTTGACCGGTTGAAGAAGACACTACAGTGGGGAGGGGTGAGACCATATGGGAGGTGTCTTCAGGCTTCTTGGGAGGTCTCCTTTTTAGCTCTGCTTTGTTGAAGGACCCTGGGCAAATCTTCTCTGAATTAGCGTCAGTCCTGTTTTACGGTTGGATTAAGTAATCCCTAAAACCCTTCTGAGGATTCCAAAGAGTTAACATCCCTTGGGAAGGGGCATGAGGCTTTTGAATCCTGATTCTTCCCCCAGCTACCCAGCTAGGTAGTGTGACTTCGGGCAAGACAGTGGTCCTCAGCTGTGCCCCAGTCCCTCCTCTGTTCAACAGAGGCAATCCCAGTACCTACTTTGTGTGGGTTGAAATGTGGATTAGGTGGGCATTCGTAGTAATGAAAGCTCATGGATTCCGCCTACTTTCTCCCCAAGTTCCGTGGTCCGAGGCAGTGAAAGTCACAAGGTGATTGACCTGTCTGGAAATCCAGTGCTTCGCATCTACTACACTTCCAGAGTGAGCATTTGCTGCCCCTCCCTATTCACTTAGCTTACGGGCAAGTCCTGGGCTGAGCCCTGGGCCCAGGGTGGGATTGGTGGGAAGGGCTCCTGGGCTGAGCCCTGTGAATTGCTGGAGAAAGCAAGTGGGCCTGAGGCCCAGGTGCGCCCAGGGAGAAGGAACTGAGTGGCTTGAGGGGAGAGGGAGGGAGGAAGAAGCCAGAGAGGTGTGCAGAGCCAGCTCTCAAAAGGCCTTAGGCTGTGAGAAGGAGTGTAGTCTTTACACTCGAGGCTCGAGGCTCGAGGGTGTAACACCTCCAGGTAAGGCCCAGGGCTTCAAGGGGGCAGCCCGGTAAAAATATCTTCCTGTTGGTTCTTAACCTTGTGGTGAGTGCTGCCCACAGCTCCGTGTGGAAGGGGAGGGTGAAGGGCCTTGGGCAGGTTCCCTGATCTGCCCTGTTCCCCCTGTGCCCACCCACATCCTACCTGTACCGCCCTGCACCCCTCTTTCCCCAGTACAGTTCCTGGCCCCCCAGCCCTTAGTTGGGGGATCGGGGGCACTACCCTACCCTCTTGCTTAAGCAGCCTTTTTGCTGTCTGTGCAGCCCGCTCTGTTTACCCTGTGTGCTGGAAATGAGCTCTTCTACTGCCTCCTCTACCTGTTCAATTTCTCCGAGGGACCTTTAGGTAGGAGATGAGGGGCTGGGCAGGAGGGTGGGAGGGGGTCGGGCCTGCCCGGGGAGTCAAAGGCCCCTCCCTCACCCGCATCCTGTTTTCTCTGTATCGCCCCTGCTCCCTTCCCACAGTTGGCTCTGTAGGTCTTTTCCGAATGGGCCTCTGGATCACAGCCCCTATTGCCTTGCTCAAGTCCCTCATCAGTGTCATCCACCTGATCACAGCCGCCCGCAACATGGCTGCCCTGGACGCAGCAGATCGTGCCAAGAAGAAGTGATCCTGGAACCTCCAGCCCCTGGCTACCCACCTGCCCTGGGAGTCTCACTGTGCCACGCGGCACCCCTGTCCCTCCTAGGAGGTCCCAGGCACATGTCTTCCCAATGTGTTGTCCAGCCTGCTGGGGAGGGGGACCAGCCTCTTTGGTGATGTCATGTTCTCCGTAATCCTGGGGACCAGTCCCACCCCTGTGATCCCCAGGGACCTGGACTTCAAATCAGGAAGGATGCTCAGGAGGCCCCACCCACACGGGCAGTGCTCCCGGGGCCCGAAGAGAGCTGTCTGAGGATCGGGCATAGTCACACCTGCTGGCTCAGCCCTGGGATCTGGCTTGGCTGAGACCTTAGGGACACTTGAGTAAGGGAGGTGGGGCAGGGGCCAGGTTTCCCAAAAGGCAGGGGTTCAGACCTCTGCCCCTGGCTAGATAGAGGAAGCCTGTGGGTTCCATGGCCCAGAGAGAAGGTGCTGTCGAGATCCCCATTGCAATCTCTGTCCTGGCTCCGAAAGCCTTGATTATAAAGGCGGGAGCATCACTGTTCTGGACTTGGTTTCCTTTGAGATAGTCTTGGACCAGGGCCTGGGTCGAGGGGAGCTTGGGGGAAAATGAGGATCCATCTGGATACTTTGGCCGCAGTAGTTTACTGGCTGGCTCCTTCCTGTCATTCCTCAGTGACCTCAGAGAGATCCCCTCCCTGCCACCCAAGCGCATTCCATGTCCTCCGCCCACCTGCTTTATTTTCTTTACGACACCGTCACTGGCTGTCTACCTTTACTTGTGTACCTGATATTTTCTACCCTCACTAAAATGTAAACTCCACGAGGGCACAGACTCTTCTTGTTCTTTCTCTATCCCTACGAAGAAGATTAACCTTGACCTGACATATCGTAGCGGCTTAAATACTCACAAATAGATCGGTTGGTTTCTCAGAATGTGGTCCTTAGACCACCTGTGGGATATTTCTTGAAAATTCAGCTTCTTGGACCCTGTGCCAGACTTTCAGAGTTGGAAATTCTAGGGATGGCCCCAGAAGTCTGAAGTTTTAATAAACTCCAGCTGATTGATTCTTCTTCCCAGTTACACTGAGAATCACTGTTCCCTCTTAAACATTTTTTGGGGTACTTATCATAGGAGACATTGTTCCAGGCATCTGTCCCTGACAGCTATCCCTGCTATCTGAGCAGAAAGCTGTCTGGCACCAGCTTTCTTTTTAAGACTGCATTGAGCCTGCCATATGCCAGACCCTGTGCTGGGGCTTCTTTGCAGATGTTACTTATTTTATCCTTGTAATAGTTTAGCCAAGAGGGCCTCATGTCTGAGAGGGCTGAAATTTATCCGGTGTGTATTGAGGGACTTCCCTGGCTGTCCATTGGTTAGGGCTCCACGCCTGCGCTGCAGGGGGCACAGATTGGATCCCTGGTCAGGGAACTAAAATCCCACAAGCCGTGTGCCACTGCCAAAGAAAAAAAAAAGATGTGTATTGAGCCTCAACTGCTCTAGGCCCAGGGGATTCAGTGGAAAGGAGGCCGCAGGATAGCCAGGAAGGAGATGATGCAGTTAGGGAGGTGCTTGTTGGGGGATAGGGTTAGAATGTGCTGTAGTGCTTTGGGTGTCTTAAGTAGAAAACTGGTAATAGTAATTGGGGCGGGAAGGGTTAATGCAGAGGAGAGGATTGATTCTCAGCTGAGGGAGCTGGGAGGCCAGAGAGCGCCCTGAGCAGTTGCCAAAAGGAAGCGGATTGATTTGCTGGAACGCGGAGCACTGGGGGTTGGTGGCTGGAGAGCTGAAGAGAGGTGGGGTGGAAGCCTGCAGCAGTCTGAGGAACCCAGGAGGGCTTTTGGACTTCACCCTGAGGGCCACATGGAGGCGCTGAAAGAATCTTTCAAAATAATAGGTAAGTTATTCACATGTAAAAATAGTAAATTGCACACATTACAAAAGGATGACAAGTC